ATGGAGTTACAGGGGACAGGAGAAGAAACTTAAAAAAAAGAGAAACCCCCGTCTTGATAAGCTCTTGTAAAACCTGTCCAACCCTTCTTGCCACGTATAGAGATGCGTGAGATTGAGCCGCAATGTTAACACCAAGCTCGTAGCGCTCTTCTCGCAGCGCCAGCGTGGCAGCGGAAGGTTGGGCTTGCGGACTAGGGTGTGGATTGTGGGTGAGCGAGCTTCCAGCGCTTTGTCGCGCACTTTCAAGCCGCAAAAGGGGCACGACATCAACGCTTGTCCACCTGCCTACCGCGATCGGGGATGGAACAAGTGAGCTCTCCGAATCCCGGAGCGTGCTTTAAACTCGTAGCAGTGGTAACTTCTAAGAACAAGTTTTGGAACTTATGGTTAGGGGCCTCAAGCCTCCTTTCCTCACACATCAGTTATCGTTCCGCTCATTCTGTCACTTCTACTCCTTTCAACTTCTTATACCCAGTCCAATGAAATCTTTAAACTTATCTGCAAGAATACTACACCTCCTCATAAATATGGGAACCGGAGACGCGAAGACAGAGATATACAAGTCAAAAATGGTGCAAGGGTCATTCATGGAGACCTCTGGTCGTTCTGTGCGGAGCACCTAATCGGAGCCATGTCCTACAGAGCAGCCTTGTAAAGCCGAAGATCCCTTGCGTGTGGGAATTACTGTACATGTACTCACTGTTCGACCAAAGTGCTGAATGACCGTGTCTAGTGGTGCAACGCATCAAACTTCCACTCGGAGCATTCAAATGTGTTATGATCTATGCGATGACTTGCGGAAGCAGTCGCTGCACAAAAGAGTGTTCTTATCCCTCCGGACAGTTCCAGTTCCAGTGCCACTTTGACGGACTCCATAGGATGGAAGAATCATTCGGCCTGAGCGAACGTAGTCCGGTATTTAATATCTTAACCGTGCCCGTGCAAGTGGCTCCACTTGCCACCACACCATCCAGATTCAACTGATGTGAATAAAAAATAGAACCGACGGCTCCCCTTTCACCCCACCTTCCACTCCCCCTGTAGTGCTCAGAAAAGAAAAAAAAGGAAGTAATCCCTAGAGAAGAACCGCAATAAGTGAAAAATGATAGTGGATATTTGGTAGTTTGTTGGCTCATACATTACAACACACTCATTTAGGAAGAATGTTCGCAAGATATAGGCTAATTCTGAGAAAAGCATCTTTAATAAAGGCTACAATTGTTCAATTCACGTGAAGCTGAAAAATTTTGATCAATACGTGTTAAAATAGTTTCAAATTCTTATCTATTGCAGTCGTTTTAGGTATAACATCAAATTGTGAAGTAAAATATACAATTAAAGTATTGAAAGGCCTTATGACATATTGAAGAGATAATAGTAATGGTTGTATCCTCACACACAAGAAGACCACAAATAAACAAAACAAATATGTACGCACTGCTACAAGTGAACATTGGAAAATAAAAATAAAAAGATTCAAAAAAAGAAACAATATAAGGGTTCTCATAGGAGTGCCCAGATTGTTGACAATAGTGGAATTGAAAGTTCAGCTTAATGCTGGATTACGACGATGAGGTGCTTTCATCAGAATAGTAGAAATATTTAAAAATCCGCTCTCAAAAGTCAGCCTTTTTCGAAATGTTCCCGATAAGTCAGTCCTCGAAAAATAACACTTCCTTGCGCTTAAGTTCCATCCGGAAAGTGGTTGGGGTTTTTCCAAAACGACATTTTTGCTTGTAATAAGTTGAATAAAAAACGTTTTACACTAGTCATCCCAATGAGATGCGCGATAAGCTCACAAGTGAGTAGCAGTGGCGGGATCATTCGAATGTGCATTCTCTGTCGCTGTGGTTTTTGAAATATAACCCGTCATATTGTGGTATTTACAACATTGGAGTGTCCGAGAAAATGCAGTAGGTTCATTCAACAAAACTACTTCAGCAGAGCATGAGTAATTAGGAAAGTACTCCCCATAGTCACGACGTCTCTCCATTAATTGGCAGGGAGCTGGGGGCATTTTTCTCTTTAGGTAGATCTGTGAGCTTCTGAAGCATGTTACCCCCAAGTGCTGAGGTCAGGTGAATATGGAGAATGGGACAGTCAGGTTATGCC